CTAGAAATTCTGGGGGAAAGCTTCGGATTGATAGGAGTACAACTACCTGAAAAATACAAGGAGAACTTCGACGTTTCGAGCGAAGGCGCTTCGACATGCACTGTTAGTGCTTTTGTATACATCGTATACAATTTTTGTAGCCAATCACAGGCCTGAATCAATTCGATTTCTCCAGAGTTATGCCTACCCTTAACCTGCGAACGGGCTTGCTCGGGGGAACGAGATTGCAAACGAACTTAAAAAGCTTTATCTGTAAAATTACGCTAAAATGAAGAGATTTTAGATGGTACGCCAAAGCGAAAATGATATCTGAAGTTCAAGAAGTTTTGCTTATATTGCTGTATAAATATGGCGTCAATTTTAAGCATCAATGATAATGGTATTTAAATTGATAATATTTAACTATTATTTCGCGTTTCTCAACCGCCAGATACTTTTAAAAAGATTGCTATCTTGCATGTGTAAATTACAAAATAAATATGCATGTTGAGAATTTCGCCATTTCAGTCATCGGAGCCTTAGTAGGTAAATGAGATTTCAAATATTTTTTGCTGCTGTTATTATATTTTAAATCGTTTTCCCTCCTTTTTTTGGAACCAAAAGTTGTTTCGTGCGACAAATCATTGTTATTTTGTCGAAAGAGTTAATGAAAATGCAACGTATAAAACTGTTATTGAAATCCGTTTTTCTGATATCCCCAATTATCAAGGTGCAGGGTAAGTGTTATCAGTCGACATCACAAAAACGTCATCCAATAACTGTTTATTATACAACCAGGAGTGTTTGTAAGTAGTTTGCATATATGCATGAGTTGATTCATTTTACAAGTTGTTTACAACACTGCCCTCCGTGTTGTATCAGACATACAACCCAATTTCCACGAGTGTTGGTATAACTGTATATCAATACGGAAAAATTTTTACATTTTTTTATAATATAGCACAAAGAAATATAAAGAAAAAAATCTCCGTGTTGACATTGAGTTACATCAACACGGCTCTTAGCAAATCAGCGTTCAGAATTTACAAATGCTATATTATAATTATATAATATTAATTATAATTAATTATAATTATATAATATTATATAATATTAAATACAGTATATTAACATAAAATTATATATATTTTGACAATTATATACCTGTCCCGTCGAGACACCCTCTTGTGATGCTAAGTGAAATTTTCTATCACTTTCATACAGCGATCCTCTCAAGTCCTTTATGAAGAAAAATATTTATCCAGGTTCAGGGCTCGATTGTACGAAAGCCGGATATCACTCTGAGGACAGTGATTTTTCAAACTTTCTAAAATTTAGTATTCTTAAATCAACGTTTCTTTATATTAATTGTGAGGTCCCTATATATCCGTATAGTTTTATAGCTTTTCAAGTACAAAGGTTGAAAAATCACTTTCGCCTTCCATTTTTCTCCGAATTCTATTTTCATCGTTTCAGTATATATAAAATGGGATATGTCATGTAACGGAGAGCAGAATAAAGCTGACTGCACAGAAAATGTAAGTTGACCATCCCAAATTAACGTCGTTGTAAGAAGTGGTTTTCCTTACTTCCTTACTTGATATAATGGATTTATTTCAAATTTATAAAAATTTTCGAATGATTTAAAGCCGATTTCCATTCAATGCAAAATGTCGCGAGATCAACTTTTTGCGATCACTTTCATGTGTTCAGTCAACCTGATCCGTTGCGTTTGATTGCTTGTATTTTGAAAGAAAGTGATCGCAAAATGACCATCGTGCGACATTTTGCACTGAATGGAAATCCGCCTTAACAATCTCCCCATTACCAGTGCGGTGAGCGGAGGAAGACGTTAAATGAAGACGGTAACGCAGAATGGATTACAGGAGGATTACCATCTACCAAGGGGATTTACAGGGGGGTTACCATCTACCAAGGGAGTCTACAGGAGGATTACCATCTACCAAGGGAATTTACAGGGGGGTTACCATCTACCAAGGGAGTCTACAGGAGGATTACCATCTACCAAGGGGATTTACAGGGGGATTATCATCTGCCCACCCCTCCTGCCTTCGCTAAAGGGAGCCCAGGGGGGGATTACTATCTACCAAATACAACTTTTTGGGTATTACTTTGGGACGTGTGGCAATATTCAAAGACATTCTCAAAATCTCATGCAGAATCTATATGATCTCTCACTCGAGCAATCAGCTCGGCCCTTCGATTCTAATTTGTAGCGAGATCATCTCGCTGCCGAGATCATCGTGTCCCCCAGAACAATCCCCCCTGAATGTTGACCCGGCACCCTCAGTTACGACGCGCCCTGCCTCGGTTAATTCTTGACATTCGCAGAGGTGTAACTTAACACTTGCCAGCTTGCCCGGGGCAACTTAATATCATGACGGATAAGTAAACGTTTTATCTTGCTTGCCCGATTGGGCAAGTTGCCTTGCCACAAAAAGCTGGGCATCTTTGCAAGTTTATGTTTTCATTGTCGAATAAATTTGTCATAGTGCATGTACTTGATTCAAATTTTGTTTTTTGTATGCCAAAGCCAGATCTGAGGCAGTATAACATAGCCATATAGATTGGGAGAACGGGTCGACATGTTGTCCCCTTATTTATACCCCCTACCTAGGTACCCCAGGCCATTGTCTGATGGCAAGTGAATTTTATTCAGGGCAACTAATTTTCATGTCCAACTTGCCCTGAGGACTAGTGGTCAAAAAGTAAAGTTACACCACTGACATTCGTACACCGCCGCACGAACAACTCCCATTCAACACCCATCCCCTGTAAGCCAGATGAACCTCATGGATCCGTCCTGCAAGTAAATTTATACAACACCATACCTTTATAGACGCCTCCGACTTCCTAAGCTTCTCGTTCAAATCCTACAAATGAAAACAACATATTACATATATACGTAATAATATTGTTTCATCGACAATAATGCTCAACATTTATTGAAACGAGATAACTGTTCACTATATTGGTATAAGCGAAAACATCAGTGGTGAAACATCATGTTCATTGATTAATTCGGCTTTTCAAAAACTCAAATTGCACGAGCTGATGAGGACGAGAGCAATTTGAGGTCTTCTACACACGTAAAAATCTCACATCTTATAGCAAGTCTGCCAACAAGCCGTCAACAAGTTGTGCTCACACTGCTTATCACAATTTGTCAACAAGTTTGGAACAACTTGTAACAAGCTTATTGATATTATCCGATACAGTCATGATATAACAATATTGTCACAACCTTGTGTCGTGAACCTTGTAACATTCAACTGGCCCCAGGTGCATATATTACTTTTTGGCACTGTATAACAACAGTGTACACTTGTCGATAACAGAAGGACATCGGTCATTCTCCGCCTTCGGCTCGAGTTTGTATATCAGATAAAGATCGACTGCTCATGTTTTATCTAGTACTTATGTATACTGATCAAATAAATCGCAAATTGTACGCACGTGAAATAATTACAAATGAATCCAATGTATACTGTATACAACTTTTCTTTTCAGTACTACAAATAATTAGTGTCTGACCGACCAAAAACTTGGGTTGTAATGTCTGACATTATCAGACCAAACTTTCAGAAAAATATTGCACTCCGTTATACAAACTTGCACCACACTCAGGCAATAAAAATTGACAATTCTTTTCACGTTTTCAATTTTTTTCAATATTTTTATTATGACTTTATATATACCTGAATTTGATGGTCGCGCTCCTCAATTTTCTGTTTCAAGCCTTTGACCTGCAGACAAAACAACTATATTTAACATCAGAACTATAACGAACGAAAATTCAAATAAACTTTCTGCCTCGAGATCTACCTAAACGCAAATCTGATCCTTAATAGTCGCAAAAGTTACAGGATTAAATATAATTACGATTTGGATGAATATAAAATAATATATATCGCATATACATTACGGAGTAAATTGACATTTCGAAATGGAAGCGACATATATACAGCCAATTCAAAATAGGTTATTCTTTGCAAACCTTAAACTCTAAGCGCGCAAAGCATAATGGGAGCATCATTTAATCAGTTAAAAAATCATATATGGGGCCCATTTCTTAGAGACAATGAGACACGGTAAATATCTCCTTACGAAATCAATTCATTCGCAAATAGCTGCAATATTCAACTACTAAGCTTGAAACTTCAAACCTTGCCTCAAAGTGAGGCAAGCTCAGATTGAGGCAACCAGCTGCGTTAGAGGTCGATTTGACCTGCTGAACACAACGCGCTGGTTGAGAGGTTAGAGTTTAAGGTTTGCAAAGGAAAACTTTTTGAATTAGCTGTATATATAGTTATATACATGCATTCCTAACATCCATTCATTGCTAACCATGCATTCGTATTTGCGGGAATATTAACGGAAAAACTTACATATAACACCAGACGTGACGACTTGCTCACGCCATCTCGCCTATTGCACGCGTGTCATAACGCGTTGCATGTCAATTACTGACGTCATTAGAAATGTCAATTTTTTTACAAAGTGGGCTACAGCCCATATTCATAATTCGAAATCGGGCAGCTAATGCATGCGCTGACGTGGTCGTAAGTTTATGTGTTGTGACCGTTCATCAGAAATTTTCCTGAAGGTCTTAAGAGCTATGCTAAAAGTTTCCTGACTTCCTGTGACTGTCCGTTAATTAAGAACTGTCCTAAAGGTCTCAAAGAGCTGTCCTAAACGTTGCCTGACTTCCTGTGACTGTCCGTTCATCAAGAACTGTCCTGAAGGTCTTAAGAGCTGTCCTAAACGTTGCCTGACTTCCTGTGACTGTCCGTTCATCAAGAACTGTCCTGACGGTCTTAAGAGCTGTCCTAAAAGTGCCTGACTTTCTGTAACTGTCCGTTCATCAAGAACTGTCCTGACGGTCTTAAGAGCTGTCCTAAAAGTGCCTGACTTTCTGTAACTGTCCGTTCACCAAGAACTGTCCTAAAGGTCTTAAGAGCTGTCCTAGAAGAGCTGTGCTAAAATTTGCCTGACTTCTGTTTCATCAAGAAGTCAAACTGTCTTATAAAAGTCTTATACCTGCTCCGTGGTATCAGCATCATCGGTTTTCGATAACAACTAAAGGATGAATGTCAATACCAGATCAATATAAGAAGAAATACAGAGTAGATTATGAATAAGATTATGAACAAGATTGCATTTCAATGAAATACACGAAAGCATTCAACTGTACAGTATGCACACTAAACTATGTACAGTAATTGCTTAAACTAAATTTTACGGTATAAATATGGCAAACCTGCGCCCATATTCATATTTGTTGCTATTTTAGCATTTGATTAACCGTTGTCAATCCAATTAAATAATAATCGATTAATCCTATATAATTCTAACTACATCGGATTTGACTCTTCAAAGGTTGACCGTTTGAACGCATTTCGTCATTGTTTCGTGTTTTTTTTGAGGATCATGGACAACGAAATTTGTAGACATCGCTTCAATTTGTGATGTTAAAACAGAGGGCGATAATTTGCGTACTTACTGTACGTACCGGAGGTACGCCAATATTACGGTCTGATACTTCCTTGTTTTAGCCATGCAAATACCACGTAATATAGGTATACGCGATACTCTCGCTATCTGCGTACTGTATTTTGCTGGTACCATGACTAGCAAACTTCTCAAGGTGCAGCACATGCAAAACCGTAATACCAACATCTCCGACATGTTCTGGCATGAAACATGATTGGACTGAAGGTATTACTACATCAGATTATACTTCTCAAGGAAACTTGTCAAGGGAAACTTGTTGACCGTACACACAGTAAGTATATGTATAAGCGTCTCACGAAAACTTGTCAAGGGAAATTTGTTGATCGTATACAGACGAGAAAGTAAACTTCTCAAGAAAACTTGTCAAGGGAAACTTGTTGATCGTACACACGAGAAAGTAAACTTCTCAAGAAAACTTGTCAAGGAAAGTTTGTTGATCGTACACACGAGAAAGTAAACTTCTCAAGGAAACTTGTCAAGGAAAACTTGTTGATCGTACACACGAGAAAGTAAACTTCTCAAGAAAACTTGTCAAGGGAAACTTGTTGATCGTACACACGAGAAAGTAAACTTCTCAAGAAAACTTGTCAAGGGAAACTTGTTGATCGTACACACGAGAAAGTAAACTTCTCAAGGAAACTTGTCAAGGGAAACTTGTTGATCGTACACACGAGAGAGTAAACTTCTCAAGAAAACTTGTCAAAGAAAACTTGTTGATCGTACACACGAGAAAGTAAACTTCTCAAGAAAACTTGTGAAGGAAAGTTTGTTCTTCTGTACGGGCCTTTAAAGACTAAGTATGTCTTGAGTCTTAGGTTTGTATCACCCATGACATGGCAATAATCATTGGAGTACCAGTATAAGGTACAACTGAACTTCATTAACTATCGCACCCTGTATAAAATCTATACTGGGATACATTACTCATGAATCACGCACACAGTTACCTTAATACGAGTCTCACGAACATCGACAGCCGACTTTAGTTCGTCTATAATTCTGAAGCAAAAATGAAATGGTTGTATAATATACATGGGGGACACTGTGGGATCGAGTTATACAATACAAGTATATACATATCAATTATATCAAACTTTATCAAACGCGCATTTCAGCAATTCTTCCACGATTGAAATAACGCTCGGTCTTAGCCAACTTGCCGTCCTTATGAGCAGCTAGAACTTGGACGGCCACACTGTTGGAAAAATACGGCTTTTGGACGCCTGGTTATCATACTGACACCTTTCAGACAACTTCTAAGAAATCCGTTGGCAGTATACACTCTACCTGATAGCTTTAATTGGCAAAATAGTGCATGTAGCAATCACACAAAATAAATCTTTTTATTATATAAACATAAGTGTTATATAGAGTTTTTGGCCACTGAGAAAAATCGTATTTAAACACACGTAAAAAATACGATATTTTTACGTGTGAAAATATCATTTGTTGTAAAACGCATTGCCACGGACGTTTTATTGTTTTTCACTGAATTTTGTTTATATAATAAACAGAAAAATACATGGGTGCTTGGAAATACCAGATTTACTTCTCGTGTTGAACATGACATCTCACTCGTTCGCTGCGCTCACTCGTGATATATCATGTTCAACACTCGAAATAAATCTGGTATTTCCGCGCACCCATGTATTATTCTCTCTATATTTTACAGGATTCGAGATTTGAGGAGTCTTTGAGGTGTACATCTACAGAAACCCTTGGAAACCTAATGCGCTGTCATTGCTTCCTGCCATTGTCTACACATTGCGAGGAGTCTAATCAACCCCAAAAATGTTATTCTGTCACAGTTTTTGATGACAGAATTACATGTGCTTTTGAAGTTGATCAAAGAGTGAGATTTACAGTGTAAGAACCTTTAAATGTTACACTGTATATCCATTAATTATCGAATCTATCAGAAATAAGAGAGTGGCATGTCTTCACACGATCCAAAGAGATTCACCGCCATGGACGTAGAAGTAAGTCAAAGACCCCGAAATAACGACAATGTACTAGATTATAGACATATACTGTACCTGTCTTTCTCTCGAAGACTTGCTTGTAGTTTTGCCTGAAAAACACAACATATGTTGTTCATTGACTGTATTATAAAAGTTGCTACACTACATAATTAAAAAAAAAAACAAATCATGAAAACAAAAATAGTAAATGCTTTACAGTTGGTAACTTTTAGTGCAGGTACATGTATATATACGGAATCACGGATAAATTTCATGAATTGCTGCTGTAGAAACACGAGATCACGTTCCCCCAAAGACCATGTCTTTCATACAATGCATGTAGAAAAACAAAGACTCACATGCATGGACAGACAGGATTCGACTGCCTTGATTCAGACTAGAGGCCATAGGAGCCCGAGAAACCTACCTGATTGACATCCCCATGTCAATGTTAACGCATTAAAATTCAGGGGGTAGGTAGGTAGGTAGCATTAAACCACGCGTTACCAGGAAAATTAATTCACCGGCCGTATTCTGCGCTTATAGTAACATTAATGATATTCGTTTTCACCATCGTACGAGCTTTAAAGTGATGTAAAACGTGCGTACGTTTTACAAGTGCGCTTCATTGACATGCAGGCAGCTTATGGTAACTTTTATCCATTAAATCAATTTATGTAAATGTATACCTGCATTTCGGTGGCTTCAATAGCTGAGGGACCATCCTTATTCTTTTCCTCTTTAATTTGCCGATTAATCCTCTCTGCTTCAATCTATACTTAAACAACCACTATACCTTAGAAATTAATCTCAAACTCATTAATAATTTATAAGTAAACAAGACGCTCGAAAGAGCGTTAACTCGCTGGGGCTATAGTGATACGCTTGTTAAATGGTACTACAATCATATGGCCAATTGAGGAGTTAATTGTGAGAGGCAAGCTAGTCAAGCTACAGAAACTCCAAAACCGAGCTGCAAGAGTTATTACTGGCGACTCATATGAAATACGCTCCATAGATATTTTAAAGAAACTAGATTCGAAAACGTCAGGTGAAAGAAGGAAGGAACAACAACTACTGTAAAATATGTATCAAAAGCACTTACATGCCAATGTCCGAGAACATTTCGGACATGTTTAAACTATATCTAATTCAGATCGATATGAATTAAGAAGTAACGAAAAAAAGCTGATGCTGTCGAAGCCAAAAACAAATTCAATGAAACGAACGTTCGGTTATGCTGCTGCTAAAGTTTGGAATGAAACAAATAAAAACTACTGAACGATTTTTGTATAATCGTATCTGGGTGACTTTAATAAACTTTGTATATCTTTCTACTATTGTTAGGATATGACCGGACAACTCCGCATTGTGGCCGGACATTGTCCGTTGACCGGCCGTTATTTCGCACCCTGGCGTAGCTGCGTTTTAGTTAGAAGGCTGTGTTGGCTGGCCGTGTTACCACGGCCAAAAAGGGAAAACACGGCAAAATAAAATGAAAGCGGCTTGATATTTATACAAAGCCGTGTATATGTATATGTTTAGAAAATAGAGTGTTGCCACTTAGAACAGACAGAATTTGCTCCTATATGTTGTAAGAAAGTTTGTACAATCTAGTTAGTGAATGTGAGATTTTTATGTTTAGATGGATACAGGCGTGTAATGGCAACTCTGCAGTATATTGGTGTCAAAATAGCTTTAAATGCTTGTATATGTGTTGGCCTTGTATTTTGCTGTTTCATGCACACATGCATGTTTTCAGTCTATTGTTGGCAAACTAACTGAAACCGCGTATCTTCGCTATTGAAGGTAATTGGCATGCAGACAGACACCATGGAAATTTAGAAACACTCCAAAATCTAAAATCTTGGTCTCACCTCCCTAATTTTTGGCTGCCCGCTCCTCATCACCCAATTACCTAAAAGCAGACTACAGTTTTGCCTATACGACTGCAAATTTTTCCAGCCTAGTTACAGATAATATGGAACTTTATAATCAAGATTTCGTTGGCATCTCACTCGACTGAATAATAGTTGGAGGGTTTTGTAGATCGCGTTTGCCTGTTTTCTTTGCATACATATAATATGCCTATTTATAACAATGATTTCACCTACCACTTTGTTTTTCAACAGTTCTGACTGACTAGTTGCTGTTTTCAATACCTAAGGGAAAACGAGAATAGTATAGATATGAGACATAAACACCTTTTCATAAACGATATAATTGTATAGTACTATCTACAGTACAAACATAATATATATCTTAATCTTTCTATGTACAGTTCCCTGCAGCCTTTGCATAAGAACGAAATAACTCAAATAAGAACAAATAGAAGCAAACATTTCTTAAATGTCAGAGAGAGGGGTCATGAAAATCATTATGTCATCAAAATCTGTGGTTTGAGGGGGGATCACCCAAAAAATATATCAGACATAAGGGGGGAGGGGGTGGTTATTCAAAAAATATTCTTTCAAAATAAAACTCCCCATAGCCCCCCACCACACAAATTATGAACGCTCCATTATTTTCGTACCTGTACATTTTCTCTAAGTTTTATTTCGTAACTTTCCTTCACTTGATCCACATCTCGGTTGTGTTGATCTCTAAGCTTTATATATGAAGAAATTAAGATCGTTATCATAAAT